GCCCAGGACACCTGTCTCCAAACAAACAGGGTCTGAGTTGGCGCGTAATCCCTCTGTAATCCCCCTTCGCACAGGTTTGCAGATAAGTGCCAATAATAATAATAATAATAATAATAATAATAATAATAATAATAATAATAATAATAATAATAATAAAGTACCTCGCTTTGCAATGGGAGACTCAACCTAACTGGTTGCCAACTGGTTATATTCTGGGACCAGACCGATTAAGTATGGCAGCAGGTGGGCATTGCAAACAGTTCCAAGTGGAGCGACCCAGGTCCATAACTGCTCTGCTTTTAAAAGTGCTTTATAAATAAACATCAAAAGTGTAAATATAACATTTGCAGTGAATAATGTTTCTGCCTCTGCCATTCTTGTGAATGTCTGCACCTCCACTCATTGCAACTCGTCAGTTGATCTCTGACCTTTACACATCGACTTCCACAGTAGCACATCTCAGCTGCTGTACCTTAACTACTTCCTCAGTCTGTGTGCTGCATCCTGTGTGTGCTGCGTCCTGTACGTGCTGCTGTAGTCAGTTGGAGTCATCAGACACGAGCTGATGCCGATGCTGCCCTTCTGAGCCCCGCTGTAGGATCCTCTTATTTTTCCTTAAAAAAAAAAAAACAACCCATGATATCCTCCAGGGATCTAGGGAATTCCCGCAAGTGTCTCTGGGCCTCATTCTGGATCAGTGCATGAGGGCCTGGCTCCGTCTGAAACAGACGCTCTTTTAATGTCGCCTGTAATGTATAACAGACACGAGACAGTCAGAATGATTCACTGTCCTCCTCTCATCTTAATGTCAGTCACAGGAAATTCGTGCCTGCATGAATGCAGCCTCATTATCTCTGTCTCTCTCACACACACACACACTGAGAGCTGAAACCTTGTGGCTCAAATGGCTTCAAGGCCTGAGGGTCTGCGCTGGAGAAACAAGAACACAATGTTCACTCAATGTTAAGTGCATATTTAAATGAGCTAGTCATTGGAGTAAAAATAGGGAAAATTATGCACTTTTAAAATATACTAGTAATTGTCATGCATAAGCTCTAGACTTCAATAACAGGCTTTCATCCACAGTCCACACACATTTGGGCAAAATATGTGAAAGCTCTGGCATACATTCCTCTCATTTATAAGACGGGGCAACACAAAGGCCTTTGTTACTTAAAAGCAGCTACATTTCTTTTTCTTTTTTTTTTTATGTCTCCACATACTCAGTTGTTTCCTTCTGCAGGAAATCATTTATAGTCAACAAACGTCTCAGTAACAGGCGCTCTGGTTGACCTGCTAAATTTCGAGGAAATATGAGCTACTTATGGTAATCATTGAGGCAATGGTAAAGTAAGAAATTTTCAATTTGCTCCTTAAAGAGTTAATTAAATTTCCTTTTTTTCTGGCCTGTTTATCCAGTGTGCAAAGCCCTGACCTCAGAAAAACCAGATAAATAGCAAAATAAAAATTTGTTTTTGCTTTATTTTTCAAATTCATTCTCTGACTTGTGAGTTTTGCAGTCATTGTGGCTGCTTTGGTTTCTCTCTGATGGCAACAGTAGAGATGTGAGGGCTTGATTTCATCTCCTTACGCTCCTTGCGGCATTGATGGGCCATTAAAATCCTAAGTTTCTACATGAGAAACTGGGACTGTTGTGGAGAGCCGCACCGTTGAGCTTATGAAGAGCTAAAATTGAAAAGACCGAGCAGCATTATGTTGAGATTAATGGCGGGGTTCTCCAGTCCTCAACTTTAGTGCAGTCTAGCAAAATCAGTACTTGTGTGTCTGTGCATGCAACAGAGGATAATGTCACCATAGCCTGCAACAAACCTGAGTGCTCATTCATCGAAGGCCAAGATGGGCTGGTGATGTGCAGCCCTAAATGGGTGAATAGCACTACAGGCCAGAGGGAAAACACATTAACCTTTGATTTTAGGGTAAACTTTAGCGTTGAAATGTCTCCATTCCTCCAGGTGTTTGTGGTTTGTTCTGCAGTCTTTGTCTTCTAAACCACAGCCCATGAATCAGTTCATAAAAGTGACCTGCTATCAGTGAGAGCTGTTAACCTGAGTGCAACCCCTGTTTTGTTTTTTTTGTTTTGTTTTTTTCATAAGACGTGGCTTTACACAGACACACTGCCACGTTGCCAGGTCTGACAAATGGCAGCAATTAGAAGTCTTTTTAACCCACTTCACAGTTTTATGAGTGACTTTATAGTCATGCTGTGATTCTTAATGTGGAGGTTGTGCGTTTGAACCTTTCTTGTGATGTCTTGGGTCGCCTTTAAGCTGTATTTTCTTAAACTGGATTGAAAGTATGAAGACTTGTCTCCAGTCTTTTATCAGCAAGATTGTCAGATATGTTTTCTTTGCTTCTTAAAAGAAAAAGAGAACATTTCTTAATTTATCCTCACTTAAGAAAATCCTGAAGTGCTGGCGGTGGAAAATAGTTTCATACTTTGCACAGCACGATCTCTACAAAGAAAGACTGCTGAGATATTTTTATGGTTTCTGGTTCAACAGTTGCACAAACTCCAAGGATAAACATGCGTTGATGGTAAAGAAAGCGTGTGATAGCGATACGTTTGATAGTAAGCCAGCGCTCTCCACTTCACAGGAAAACTACACATACAGTCAGAACGCGTCGACAGGAGCTCTGGGCTTTGTGAGCACAATGACACTAGCACGTGTTTGTCCTCCCCCTTCTTTTGTTTTGGAAAAAAAATCTTTGTTGCTATGCTTTGTAAAGAAAAGATTTGACTTAAAGAAAATGTTTTGACACAAACTTAATCTGTGCTGAATCCTGTGGAGAGATGTGATTGTTTTTGCTGTAAATATTACAGGCGTACAGCAAAGCCTTTGAGTGTGTTTGACTGCAGTAAATGTCTTGAAGAGTTTCAGTTTGACTTGTGAGTGGACTTGCTATAGTTCAGGAAATGACAGCTTTGCAATCCAGCCTGGTTCTGTTCAGCATCAACTTGTAGATCTAAATGTGTGTTTAATAAAAACCTGCTGATCCTGGACTCCTACCAGGTCCAGACCTTCAGTCACCATTTCTGTCTCAACACATTAGGATTGGACTGTATAACAGTTCCTTCTTGAGATGGATGCTTTAATTCCCTGACTTTCTTGGCTAAGATAGGCAGGTTGAAAAAAGGCAGGACGGAGACACACTTATGAGATTAAGTACAGCTCTGTGCAAATGTTTTAACCACTTGAGATGTTTGCATTCTTATCCCTCATGCTACAACATCAAGGGAGCATCTGATCGTCTAGAATTCATCATGAGAATGAAACTGTCTTCTTCTTCTTCAGTTTTATTTACTTTATGTAGCTCCAGTTTACAACAAAAGTCACCTTAAGGCAGGGGTCAGCAACCTTTAAGACCCAAAGAGCCATTTGGACCCGGTTTCCACGCAAAAGAAAACACTGGGAGCTGCAAATACTTTTTGACATCTAAAATGAAGATAACACTGTAATTATTGTTTTTTACCTTTATGCTTTGTGTGAACAACTAAGGTGTGTTGCTTATGAAACCCATGAAGTGCTACAGAGAAAATTATATTTTATTTATGTAATGAACACATTTTGAACTCTTAACGAAATATAACAAAAGGAAAGACACCCAGCTGAACTAAAATGGTCCATGTAGCAAACAACAACTGTTGTGAGCCGCCACCCTTATATTGCCTTTGGGCTTTTGGAGCCTTGGCCTGGCTTTTAAAAAATAATTGGAAAAAAAGCATTATGCTGCTAAAAAAAAGAAAGATATTTTCAAAATTCTGCCTAAATATGTATTTTACCTGGTTAATGTGTGTGGTGGGGCGTGGTCTGCAGCGCTGCTGCAGGGGAGCGGACGAACCTGAGCTGCACCCCCAATCACAGCTCGCCGCCTTAACGTCTGTGCTCTCTATGCTGTTGGCGTGTGTCGGGCTGTGAGCTGCAAAGCTACAGCCGGCTGTATGCGTACAGCAACCGTGTGTGAAAAGCTTGTTCATGCAAACAGTGTCGGGTCTGCCGTGATATGTTTACAATGGGACTTCTGCTCCTGAACCTCTGCGCACAGCGTCTGCAAATCAGGGCTGTACGAAGTCACTTTCATCTTTACCCAGGACTGTAAGCTGTCATCTGTGAGGCGTGAGCGGTGTTTGTCTTTAACATAGTTCACGGTGGAGAACAGCTGCTGACATAATGTGGATACAAAGATCCATAATTGGCCTATCTGGGGCTGAAAGTCTTGATATATGCACGGCGTTGCGGCGGTTACACCGGCTTCTGCGAGTGTGACGCTTATTTTGAGCGATGAAAAAATAATAAAATCTAATTTTATTTTTATATTTCAATATCAAAATAATCTTCCAATTTAGAACTACAAGTTAAAAAAAGAACTAACATAAATAAAATACATTTCAGCTAAATACTGCAGAGCCGCAGTATAAGGACTAAAGAGCCGCAGGTTGCCGACCCCTGCCTTAAGGTTTTTTTTTTGTTTTGTTTTGTTTTGTTTTTTTTTTGTTGCAGTGCATGGACTCCTGAGTATTAGACAGAAAATCCCAACAATTAAGCAAGCACTTGGTAACAGTGGGAAGGAAAAACTCTATTTTAAAAGGAATCAGGCTCAGAGAGATGCAGCCATGTGCTGTGACCCCAGGTTAATAACATGTTGTGGTGGCACTTAAATGCATCTTCTCCCAGCCTGAGCCTGTAGCAGCTCAAATGAGTTCAGGATCACCCGATCCAGTCATAACTTATAACCATTATCGGATGAAATGAAAATTATAAATGTACCGGTACTCGTATAGGGCCTTTCTACTCAGTTTGAGCATTCAAAGTGCTTCCCTACTTACAGTAAATAATTGTGGTAATTGTATGTGTCTGCTTTTTGTGTTAGGAATGAATCGAGTTACTCGATTAAAAACTGAAGCACTTATGAAAACCATTCGCTTTTTCACCCGCAGGTTTATGAACATTATACTTACTGTGTTTGGTTTTTCTCTGCAGGGTGCTGGTCAGGAGAAGCTGGGCATCTACATCAAGTCTGTTGTCAAAGGCGGAGCAGCTGATATGGTCAGTATGAAAACTACGACGGAAAACAGGAGAAAGAATCAGGATGTGATCAATATGTGTGAGTGTGCGTCTGTTTGTGTTTACACAGGATGGTCGTTTGGCGGCAGGTGACCAGTTGTTGAGTGTTGATGGGCGGAGTCTAGTCGGTCTATCGCAAGAGAGGTGAGAAACTTGTACAGCAACATTTTTTTAATCCACAGAAATAATTTGGGAAATCCTGAGCACACACGAGCAAATTACAATTTTATGATTGACCCCAAAGAAGCAGCAGGGTGTAAATAGTGTTTTTCTTTTTATATATTTCACCACCTACCGCGCTGTAGTGACGCATTTATGGTCACGAGATGATGAAACTGACATTTAATGTTATTTTAGGAGCAGAAAACATTCAGCGGCACGTCAGCATGATAATTTATTTTTCACCTCAGGGTTAAGACATCCTGAGGTCGTTGCATCCCGTTGGTCCTTGTAAACACACGGATTTTCCAGCACGTCTGGAACATGCAGCTCGAGCAGAAAAAGGGCGTGCGTGCGTGCGTGTGTTTTGGAAACAGCACCAGAGCACGCGGTGGCTAACGCCCCATTCAGATTAATCCTGTTATTCCTCTTGCTTGACATGCACAGGCTTGATTTTTAGTGTTATTACCTGCATTGTGACAAAAAGAGTCAAACTGGATTAACAGATAATTAAGTTAATTGCTTTAGCATGCAGGTAGCAGCTAAAGCAATTAACTAATTTTTCTAGATTTCGAGTTTTTGTCATGGTATAATAGCGTGGTAATCTCAACTCCCAGCAAGTAGAGATTAAGGGATTTTTACCCTTTCTGTCAGACATAGATGTGTATGTAAAGCTGTGATGTTTCCAAATATGGATTTGGAGCCTGTTTTCCCCTCAGCGCCAAGGGGCTGATGTTACATTCCCAGAATCACTTCCAGTCAAACAGTTAGCTTCTGCCCTACAACTATTTATAGGATTAGGTTAAAGCTCCATACACAGGGACATGTAACACATAATAGCAGGCATCCTGTGCGTGTCTGAGTGACACATCAGCATTGGAGCCAAAGTTGGAATGAAGCGTGTCTCTGGTAGTGACAAATATAATCCCTGCCTCCTCTGGTTCATAGTAAAGGCAGTTGTTCTTCCCGTTATTAACTCACAGCAGTGCTGGGGGCTGCAGAGCTGTCCAGACTTCCCACTCAAAATGTATTTATTTGAACAAAAAACAAAAACAATGTGCTCGACCAACAAGCATCAGGAGGCTCTGGTGCATAAGCTTATTAAGACCATTATGTCTACATGATATGAAATTTGTGTTTTAGTGAAGTTCAATCAACATTTCAGGAACTTTTCAGGCAAAACATGAAACACCTTGTGAGAATTTGCTCCTTTTTAACAAACTTTAATAATATTTGAAACAATATTGACAATGAAGCTGGAAGAAAATTGGTACAAAATTAAAATCTCGAAACTTTTATTTTCTAATTTAGAATAACTTAGAATAAACCTCTGTAGCGCCACCTGGGTGTTAGATACAACCTTGTCTGTCTACACGTTCTTTTACCAAAAAAGGTACTTTGATTTTTTCCAGTCATGTCCTCATCCCGTGTTAGTACCTCATCGCTCTGTGGTCTCAGTCTTATACAATCACATTCTTTTCTATATGTGTCATATCTTAACCGCTTTGCCTTACATAAGAAACATGTCGAAGGCATTTTGGTTACTTTTGAAGCTAAAAAAACACCAGTTAGTACAATACATTCAGATTATATTTATCACGTGGATACAAGGAAACCGCACCATAGCAACTCCAGTAACAAACTAAAAAGAGAGACAGGTCAGGTCTTCTTGTCTGACATGCTTTAAATCCCTGAAGTGTTTAAAGTAATCCAAAAAACAGACAGCGATCAGCATAAAAGGTGATCATAAACCAAAACTACAGCTGCGCTTCCCACGTGAACAGGTACCTAATAATGGTAATCAAGGTTGCCGCTCCTAAACATGTGACCACCTGATAAACTGCCACTAAATAAGCCAAATTAAACATAATCACAAGTCACACAGTTGAAGTTTGTCTATGAAAAAACAGTTAAATTTAAATGTATGTATACGTCTTAATTCATCTGATTGTGGTATGGATCGCCACAGATGCGGATTATAAATTCCTGTTTGCCTAAAATGTTGTGGTGTTGTTCTTCTACCCTATTTTTTAATTATGAAACCCTTAGACAGCCACAACTGCGACTCCACACTGGGCTAAGTTTGTCCCAGAGAGTGGGGCTGTGGAGGGGCTGCAAAGAAACTTGGCTCAGTGTGTCCCTCTCTAATTTGTGCTCCCCCCTCTTGTTCAGGGCGGCAGAGCTGATGACGAGGACGGGCTCAGTCGTCACTCTGGAAGTCGCCAAGCAGGGAGCCATTTACCACGGACTGGCCACCCTCCTCAACCAGCCGAGCCCAATGATGGCAAGAGGTGAGCGCACACACAAGAAGCAGGATTTTATTCATGACTAAAAGTTCTGGTTTAAGGTTCTGGATGTAATTTTGGAAGCGCTGATGATTTGTGGAAATCTTTGTGACTTATTGATAACTTTGATGGCTTATTAATCAAATTAAATCAACTGAGAATTGATTTTGAATTCTGGTTAGTTGTCTTCAACTATTTCAGCCATTATTTGTACAGATAGATGTAAAAACTTGTCTTGGGTTCAACCTTTTCCACAAGCATGCTGATTTTTCTCTAATTTTGGTATAAATGTAATATTTGTATCTATTTTTTTTCTGAATAGATACAAAGGTTGTTTTCTTCTCTCTTTTTTTTTTTAAAGGATTGGTAGTAAGACACAAATGAACAGCAATAAAATGAATAAAATCATTAGGAGTTTTAAAAATAATGAAGCCATTTTTCTACCTCTGTTACAATTCATTAACTCAATCAACAACCCTCAGAGGCATTTAAAAACAGCTACAAACACGGCTCTCTAAAGTATTTAAAAGTGGTAATGAATGAACTATTGTTGGTCCACTGAAGGGTGTGCCAGTAATTTGGTGTTGTGGATGATGGAAAAGAAGCAGGCTTGTCCAGACAGTGTGTCCTTGTTGTCTTCTTTGCAGCACAGTAAAAATCCTGCTAGCAGACTGGAGGATATAATGAGAGCTTGTGGCCAGAGCCAGCTGTGTGTGTGTGTGCAGACACACGTGCATGGCAGAGTTTACAGGGTTGTCTGGCTCTGCGCTGGTCTTTGTCTGCTTGAGCGGTGACCCCAGATTCATTAAGGAACCGTTCTGGCCGGGCCAGTCTGTGGTCCACGATGACGATGAAGGCGTGTTTCTCCCAAATTCCCTCGACCGCAGACTCTTGCACCGCTGACAGAGACGTTTAACAAGCAGACGTCGAAGGATGGTCTTTAGTTACAGGAAACTGGACAAGCTGAGCAGGAGTGTAGATTCTCACAGAACGATGGCGTGAAGCCAGAAGAAGAAACAAATTGGTAGCTGTGCTGTATGGATTTTATATGAACCTATGTTTAAAATACACTTAAATGCCTTTAAATTAGCTTCAGTCACAATTACAGACGCCCCAGCAGGAGATCAGCACTTTGATGTGTGTTTAAAATGGTCTGAGACAACAAACGACTCCAAAGAGGTGAAATCAGTTGGGCCCAAACACAAGCTCGACTAGAACAAAGGCTGACAAACTGCAGCAACACAAAGATTCACTTTTTTCTTTTTAACTGTTTTCCTCTGCTCCTGTTTCTTCTTTCACCTCCAGCGTCAGACCGAGGCCGTGAGAAGAACGGGAAAATGCGACCAAAGAGTGAAGGCTTCGAGCTGTACAACAGCTCGGTGCAGAACGGCTCTCCAGAGAGCCCGCAGCCCGGCTGGGACTCTTACCCCGAGCCAAAGAAGATGAGCGGAGAAGACCGGCTCCTGAAGAACCGAGCCGACCATCGCTCCAGCCCCAACGTAGCCAGTAAGAAAGCTGCTTATTAATTATTTATTATAGTGTCATTTTAATAATTCCTCTTGTTCCGCCACAAATATAAGGTGAACTTTAACTTTAGTTCTGCACAAAATAATGAAACCATTCCTACTTATTTGGTTTACAGACTGTATATTTAAGAAGGATGTACCCACTGGGATGTCGCGCATTGTTTTAAAGCCTTTAGTTGGCCATGTTTGCTGTCACAGTGTTGTCTGTTTTGGAATCGGATATGGTCATATTTGGTTAAGAGCTTGGGCTGCTAAATTATCAATGATAGCAAACTTTCCATGTGTACATGGATACCTAATAAAGTCAGTTTTATTTATATAGCACATTTAAAACTTGGCTTGAATTGTTGCAGGTAAAGCCAAGTGCACAGTGTCGGCACCCACCTGTCACTCAAAGCAGCCACATCACTAATAATACATAACTTTAAGCTTTAATACAGTTTAAACAGATGAAGTATATTAAAAAAACTCATTGTTCTTTACTATGTTTGAAATCTTCCTTTCATGGTATTTCACATCCCAACAAATTATATGTAATTTATGCTACAAGCTGGGAATTTCCTTTTACAGCATGTAAAATATCTGTAACAAAGTAGTCTAAAGGGCAAAAGGTCAGTACCATAAATTAAAATATGAAACAGAAACCAAATGGCTCAATAAATTAAGAGGAGAGCATAAAATCATTCATAGTTCAATTATAATGCAAAAAAATAAATAAAACAATTGATCCATTGAGCCATCGCTGGTCAACAACGTTTGGTGTGGGCAGTAAAGAAAATAGGAAAAAAAATAAAACCGCCCTCATGTTATTCTGTAGCTACTCCACCCTGATTTAGAAACACAGTGGCAGCCAGTTTTCCTGCTGCTGGAAAAATATTTATTTTCAGAAGAAAAGAAAATATTTTCAGCAACCATTTTCATTCTTCTGTTCCTCAGTAATTGTGTATTGGTGAGACTTTTTGTTTTTTTGTTACTGCACTAAAGCAATGGTTTCTCCTGCCTCTGCTTCAGATCAGAGCCAGAGTCCTGCAAACAAATCAGTGTACCCCGGAGGACCTGGCACCAAGATCACCTCCGTCTCCACCGGGAACCTGTGTGCAGACGTAAGTAACCATCAGACTGAATCCTTACCCTTATGGGAAATGTAACAGCAGAGTGACACAACATTTGAGCACACTCGGTATGTTGAGCAGAGATGAGAAATCATTTATCAGGTTTATGGCTTAGTCTTGTTTATTCCTGGAAAACCATCTCAAAATATTTTGTTTTTTTTCACACGCTTGTTTTTTGTTCCTCAGGATGAGCCCTCTCCTCCCCGCCCAGAGGCCTACCCCATCCCAACTCAGACATATCCCAGGGAGTACTTCACCATCCCAGCCTCCAAGAGCCAGGATCGGGTGGTGGGACCAGGGCAGCAGGGGCCCCCACCACACTGGCAGGGTATGGAGGACAGAGATCGCCTCCCCATGGGCGATAACATCCACAACAACAGCATGCAGGTACGGAAGCTTGAGATACTTTTCAGATACTGTTTTTCTGGGTGTTACAACGCTCTATGAGACCCAAAAAGATTAGTAAAGTTTTATTATTCATCAATGTGTTTTTCCAAATCACATTTTGGTGACACAGAAATGTTTGAAGCCATCAGCTTGTTGACAAGCTGATCATCATCTCCTTCTCCATCCTTTTCTGGCTGTGAGCTCCTCTCATCTTCGTCCTCCCAGTTTTGAGCATCGTTTGTTCCATCGCTTATGAGTCACCGTGGTTATATCTGCATATGCAAAGGCTTAAAAAGTGTCACAGGATTGAAAAACATATTTAAACATTAGAAATACAATTTAAGATAACATAATAAAACAGACAAACTAGAGCCTACATAATAACCTCTAAGGTAAACTTGGGAATGTAATAAGTAGCTGATTGAGGTGATATTGATTATTTGTGTTTCCAACCACCCCCTCCTCTCTCCTTTTATAACGCATACTTTTCCTCATCTAATATTTAATGTTTTGATTGCTTTGCAGCGGATTAATCACTCTCAGGAGGACTTGTATCCACCACCAGGAGGCATGAGGCCAGATGAGCGAATGCAGCCACACTACCAGCACCGGGACCTGGACTACCCACACAGAGATCTCGAATACCAGAGAGGTCCACCTGGAGGTAAGAAGGAAAACCTGACTTCAGATCGGATCAGAGAGGATGACAGAAAAAGGACCGCAGCACCTGTTAGTGTGTTCACTACCAGATTATACAGCATCTTAAAGTCAGCATCCAAATGTCTCTTAAAAGTTGATTATCCTTCATGATTACATAAAACACACAAATCATGATATTAAATTCAAGGACCAGAGCAAAGATAATTTGCTAAAGCATAGCAAATCAGACATGCTGTCATTTCTGACATTCATCAGATGAAAACAACAACAAAAATAATAACTAAGTTGTAAGTTATTTCACTTTAAAAATAAATATAAAAATCTAATGTTTTGGACTGCAGATGCCCAGGAAAAACACTCTGTAGTTTTACCATCACCAAGCCTCCATCTTTCTTCAGAAAGCTGATTAGTACTAAAGTATTGTGCCAACATTAGTGATAAAATTCATTTTTAGGCTAAGAGGGTTCAGAGGTACTGATACTGGTTTTTCATGGAGGTTTAAAGGCTTAGAAACCACTGTGCAGTTGGTGTCCCTGGTCAAGCAGGTGACCATGTGTTTCTTTGTGTCTGCAGGTCTGGTAGGGCCCGACCACTGGGCTCCACAGCCGCAGGTGTCCTCCTCCCTGGAGTCATCAACATCAAGCCAGGAGCATCTCAACTTCTCCGCGTCCTCCTCTTCTTCGAACAAGACCCAAAACCAGAAGACCGGCCCGGGCAGATGGAAGACGCCCAACGCCCCTCACACCGTGCCGCCGCATTCGGCACAGCCGCCGTCTCGGTCTGACCTGCCCCCTCCTCCTCCTCCACCTCCAGCAGCTTACCCCGAACCCTACGACCCACAGCCGGACCTACCGCTTCCGCCCCCTCCAGCTGCTATCAACCCAGTAACGGCTCAGCAAGCTGCTGACCGCAAGAAGAGAGAAGAGCAGCAGCGCTGGTATGAGAAGGAGAAGGCTCGGCTTGAGGAAGAGAGGTGGGCTTGTTTTGTTTATTGAAATGTTAGCAAAAAAGCATCTTTGTTATTTACTATTTACTATATCCGGCTTGCTATTTATTATTTCTGAGGGAAGATGTAGACAAGCATTTATGCTTTAAAAATAAAATGCAAATAAAGTCATGTATGTAACTCTTCAACGTGTTGTTTAGTCTTTGCTGATACAGAGATCGCTACATCATCAGTATACGCTGTGCTTCTTTACGTTTGGAGTAAATGAACTCTGCACCCTTCTGTCTAGTTGCCAACAATGCTTCAGTAGGTGGTTTTGTCTTGATGTGCCCTCGTTGTACAGAACCTTGAATGTGGAATACCTTGCAGAAAGATCTAAACTAAATATGATCTTAAAAGAGGAATGCATCAGTGTTTGTTTATATATAAAATAATGTATATTCTGCCTTTTGTTTTATGCTTGTTGCATTTTAAGACCTTGGCCAAGTCACCCTTTTAAATGGCACTTTCTCTAAAAGCAAAAACGTATTAGTACAGGATTCCCATTTTTCAATAAAAAAAAAAAAACAAGGTGATGTCATACTGCTACATTTATGCATCTGATTTTGAGTATTAATGATGATGATATTGATGCATTTCCAGGGATAGGAAGAGGAGGGAGCAGGAGAGGAAGTTGGGTCAGATCCGGGCCAACCCTGTCATGCCCGTCCAGCCTCACAACGGAGGAGCCATGCCTCCTCCTCACCACCAGCCCCCTGTGGCCTCCATGGCTCCACCTCAGCCTTACCACCCCCCACAGCCTCAGCCTCCTCCACCCAGACCAGAGAAGCTGGCCAGTCTGCCGCGGTCTGCTGTACCTCCTCCTGCTAGTGCCTCCAACCCTGCTGGTAACAAGAAATGTATTAGTTACTTCTTGTTTAAACAAATAAACCAGTCTTGTCTCTGTAATAACTAGTATTCAATATGCCTGCAGGCATGGACACAGTGATCAGGGAGCTGCTTCCACAGCAGCAGCCGCGAACCATCGAGAGGCGAGACCTGCAGTACATCACAATCAGCAAGGAGGAGCTGACGTCCAGCGACAGTCTGTCTCCAGATCCTTGGAAGAGAGATGCCCGAGAGAAGGCCGAAAAACAGCAGCAGCTTCACATCGTGGATCTGCTGGACAAGGAAATCCAGGAGCTGCAGGTACTTTTGTTCACAACAGTGGGAGGAGTGATTTGAAATCAGAGATCATGTTTTAGAAGGAAGTAGCAGAGTTAATGTGATCGACTTGACATTATGAGGATATTTTGGAAGAGTATGATCAAAACTGCTATGCAAACTGTTATTTTATCTTCTTGCCTCAAGTAGGAAATATTTAATGGTTAAAAACCAGTAGAGATCATTCAAAAGGAAGTAATTAGGTCAGATATTGTTAGAAATGGTTCACCAGATATTGATATCAAGTGGTATGTGCAGGGTGTAAATGTTGTATCACACAAAAGTGTAAAAGATATGATTGTTAGAGAGGTAATATATCTCACACTCTTTCCACTCCTGCATCTATGCGTGGATAGAGCAGGGTTTAACCAAAGACATAAAGCTGGATTTCTGTAAAAGCTACTGGCCGGTGCCCCGTTCTGATTGTGCGTCTGAAATCTTTGTGATGCCCATCCTACAGTATACTGTAACACCTTTCAGACTGACAAATGCTCCAAAGACTGATGAATACTGTACTTTTGGATATCAGGTATACTTAGATGACCTTGTGGCTTATTCCGGTAAGACGACTTCAGTTTCTAAACATCATTTTGTTTTGCAGGCAAAGCCCGAGCGAACAGCGGAAGAAAACGACCGCCTCAGGAAATTGATGCTGGAGTGGCAGTTCCAGAAACGACTGCAGGAGTCCAAGCAGAGTGACGACGAGGAGGACGAGGAGGATGATGAAGACGTGGACACCGTGATGATCATGCAGAGGCTGGAGGCCGAGAAGAGAGCCAGGGTAAGAAATGGAAGGAAATGACTGAGGGGGGAAAAATGAGTTCATTTGAAGGAAGTAGGGAAGGTGCTTTTTTTTTTTTTTTTTCTTAACAAAAAGAAAAGGAGGGAGTCGAAATCGTATCATGTGCAAAGGCTGCTTTGGCAGAAATCAAACTTTCTGACTTCTGTTTTTCGAGCGTTACTACCCATCAGCTCAGAGTTCAGGGCGAGCCGCAGGAAATCGGGCTGATGGGGGGGAAAACAGAACCGCCTTTCAAATGCTAGAAGGGAAAATGGCTCCCACTATGAATGTCCTGCAATGTGCATCTGCAACATGCTTCTATCATCGCTTTGCCATGCTGAGCTGCTTAAATCTGATTGGCTGGAGGGGTGGATGGGAGGGCAGGCGGCAGCAGTGTCGTTAAAGCTGCTTTCACATCTCGTGGATGTGACTTTTATTTGAACAAACGCTGCACATGTGCAGCCTTTTGATTATTTAAGCACAGGTCTTGCACTACAATGATATCAAATATCCAGTATTTTTAAGGTGAAGACGATGCTGGGTGTTTGAATTCACCGAGTCATCCAGCACGAGCCTGAGTGTGTGTCGAAACCTCAGGAGGAAAGTGCTTTTCTAGGTTCAGACACATCAGTTGTGCATTCATCCGGGTCGTGTGTAGATCTGCTGTGTGTTCCTCCCAGTAGCTCTGTAGTGAAGGTAACTGTTTTGTAGCTGACTTTTACCAGACTTTGACTGGATATTTTAGGATGCGTGGGTGTCTTTAGTAGCTGTGGATGAATCTCAGAGTTTGGTTGACTGTGTGAATTATTTTATTTTTTTATGTCTTTGGTTTGCTGCGTTCTTTTTCTTTGTTGAACTACTTTATTCATCTTGAAGACTGGTATACACTTGGTTTTAAAATCTGGGACTTTTGGCTGCTTAGGAAGGGAATTTAGGCTCATATACACCAGAAACATATTTCAGACACTAATAGAAATGTGCAGGCGTTTCCAGCTGTTCACAGTGGTTGGTCAAAGTAATTTATAATGGGGGCACAGATAAAGTCTTTTTTTACTGTCTATGAGTACTGTTCCCAAGTACTGAACTGGATAAAGTACGCAAAAGGTAAAACATTGGATAACGTGGTTAGAGGTTATTGTGACAGTATTACTAACATAAAATAATCCATTTAAATGCTGTCCAGTCATCTAATGTGCATCACTGCAGTGAGGAGTTATTGCTGATTTAGGATAATTGTGTCTCTTTGTGGTTGTTTGAGTGAGGTTTGTTTGACTTTTTTCCCCACGTGTGCATTAGTATGTACACTACCACAGGTATGTTCTGAAATGGGTCCCAGACCACCAGTAAGGTTTGGTAGTGCTCCTCGGTGGTCATTTACACCTGTGTTAGATTGTTCATAATGTATTTTTAAGCTAAGTGTAAACAGGGTCTAGTTTAGGTCTTCATGACTAAAAGTGGACATTTAGTCAGCTTACAGTAAATGGATAATACCACAAAATTACAACTTTCTCTAAGAAGTAAAAACTTCTTGGACTATTTTACTTTACCAAAGCTTCATTGATAAAGTTGAAGAGAAAAATATGGGACGATGAGCTCAACGTTAAAGATGTAGCTCTGTAGTTTTTAGATTTAAAAGCTTCTCATCAACAGAGTAATAAGACCAAACCATGTTTTCACTTTATTCTATGTCCTCCCCTGCTCTTCTCTTATCTCTGTTTTACTCTTTAGTTCCTCCCTCGATTTTCTAATCTAGTCTTAACTCCTCCTCACCTTCCTTTTCAGTTTTTGGGTATTTCCTCCTCCAACTATCTCCCCTCCCTCTCTCACTCTCTATTCTCTTCTTCTTCTTCCTCTTCAGCAGCAGACTGCTGTCCCAGCTATCTCTGTTCTAGACTTGGTATGTTCATCCTGTTAATGACGAGTATCTTCTCCCTGCCCTTACATCACTTCCTGTTTCCTGTCTGGGCTTCCCACCTGCCCGTGTCTCTCCCTACCCATCTGGGCTTGCTGTTGTCGTTTCATCGGGGGTCGTGGTGGTAGACGGGACTGGGCCATGATTAGCTAACGAGCAGTTGGTCCTAGGATGCTTGATGTTGTTTGGCTGGGGAAGCTGTCCATCTCTTTGTCAACTCAAAACACCTGCTGGGGGACGGTGAACGAAGCTGCTGCTTAAATATTGGTGTTTGATAACTGCAAACCAAACCTGTCCATGCTTTCAGATTAGCAGAGCTGCGGTTGGTGTGATTCTTTTCAGCAGTGATGTTTTGAGTACATATTGAGGTGGCGCCTGCATGGCTGAATGCATCATGGGGGGCATCTGGGTCGAGACCAATGCATGACAGTCCTGCGAGCCCCCTGCGCTGCCTGCGAAGGGCCACATCATGTTGTCGTGGTGGTCATGAATCCATCCGTCTGTCTACCCATCCATCCATTTGTGTGTGACCTGCTGAGCCTCTTTGTCTTCTCTGTATTGGGTCTGTTCAACCAAGTTATTAGACTAGCTAATTCTTGCTTTACTTGATTAAATGTACATAAGAGATGGACTTGGCCACCCAGAGACTCGGATCCATTAGTTTGTGAAGTACAATTTTGAAACCTTTAGGAGAGTCGAACTCCAGGTCTCGAGGGCCGGTGTCCTGCAGGTTTTCGATCTCACCCTGGGTCAACACACCTGAATCAAATGATTAGTTTATTACCAGGCCTCTGAAGAACTTCCAGACATGTTGAGGAGGTCATTTAGCCATTTAAATCAGCTGTGATGGATCAAGGACACATCTAAAACCTGCAGGACACCGGCCCTTGAGGCCTGGAGTTCAACAGCTGTGCTTTAGATCATCATTTTTGCTTAAAAACACTCAATGTCCAACTCATATTTGGACATGGAGTTAGGACTAATAAGCTAACAACAAGAGTTTTTACTCTAAAACTAGATCCTAGTATACAAAATAAACACATTTTGTACTAATCAAGCATTAAGACTAATGATTGAGACCACAAACTCATCAGGAAAGTGTTTAATTGGGTAAAAGAAGAAACAAAAGTAGGGTCAATTTCTCGTAGACTTCTATACAATTGTTTTTGCAGGAAAGTTCTTGCCCCCTACTGGCAATTATCTATATTGCAGGTTCCAGACATTTTTAGACACTACAGCTTCCGAACATCACTTTGTGGTTAAATGATTGATAGACAGATTTAGTTTTATTTAACCAGGGTCATAGCATTGACCTGACCATGACCTAGAATGATGTAGTTACCATATTTACCCTAATGCAATAGTGGCAAATATTAACAAATAACAAAAATAAAGAAGGAAGACTGCATTGCCTTCAAATCTACTGGAAAACCTTTACAGTGTAAATACAACTTTTTTTTTTTTTTAAATGGAAATATAAAGACAAAATAGTAATTGTAAGAAATTAAAAATATATAAAATTCACTCAATAAACAAATTGAAACGACTCAAGCAAAACAATATATCCTGCATAAGAATTAGAAAAGGAGCAAACAGGGAGCCTTATTGGAGCTTCTTTGTGGACAGATGCCACCGCGAACGTTTGGTTAAACTGACCCTTTAACCACCATCCAGCCCTAGAATGGGTGTGTTTGTTTCGTTTGTCGCCATGCTGCACTTGGTTTGTCGGGATGGTTTTCGGAATATTTCTGCTGCAGCCCATAAAGCTTGCAGTTACTTCAGGTACGCTTGATTTATTATTCCTCTGCTGCTCAGTGGGACATTTAATGATCTGTAAACGAAATCAAGTACACCTTAAGTAGCCAAAGGAGGGGCTGTCTTTGCTTTTCGCTCTGCCCTTTTCCGGTTGTTGTTACTGCTGCTGTTGTTGTCGTTGTCGCTGCATGTCGGTGTGTGCATGTTTAGCAGTGTGTGCGTGCGTGCGTGTCTGTTTCTTTCTGCCTGTGCTGTGTGTTTGCAGTGCACACAGCTCCTCCCCCCAGGAGCAGTCCTGTGAGACAAATGCAGTTCTACCTCACATTTGTACACAAACATATTAGTGCAGTTGAACAAATCCAAAAGAAAATGTGCTCAGATTATGTGTCTGTGAATGCCACGTGTACTAATTTCTTTCCTCATTTGCATGCGTGCCTTGCGGCATGTTCCCCGCGGGTGTGTGTGACCAGTTGCAGGATGAGGAGCGGCGGCGTAAGCAGCAGCTGGAGGAGATTCGTAAGCGGGAGGCAGAGGAGCGGGCGAAGCAGGAGGAGGAGAGGAGGTGGAGGGAGGAGGAGAGAGCCAAGCGAGAGGCCGAGGAGAAGGTCGGTGTGTCTGTCCTTGAAACCGCTGGAGTTCTGACCTGATTAAAATTAATGCTTTGTGCCTTTATTAAAGTATTACTGAGTCAGAGCTTCAGGTGTAGCACAGATTAGGTTTACACACACACACACACACACACACACACACACACACACACACACACACACACACACACAGGGGTTGGACCGATATTTGAACAGTAATTACATTATATCCAAATCTACAAAATTATGCAGCTTTCTCTTGTCTTAAAGTTTTTTTTTTTTTTTTTCCCCTGTTAGGGTGCAACAGCCAGCTGCTAATACACAATAAAACCAAAGTACGCGATGCTAACAAGGAGCTATTAGCATGATAAGAGAAAGAAGGTCCTTAAAAATCCTCATTAAACATCAAAAATTCCTGTTAAGAACCAAAATATTGGCATTTGATAAGATTTAATGTAATTTAATTCAGATTGTTGGATTATACTTAAAGGTGCTAAACTTTTAGATATACTGGCAAACTGTTTCCCCTGTTACCAGATAACAGTGTTTACAGCACAGATGATGCAAAGGACTACATTTTTAGTCCTTCTGAAAAAGGCTTTTAATTTGAAAGTGTTGCATGTCGTTTTCCTCTAGGTTGTCAATGTAAGCTAAAATGTGGCCACTGTGTTTACAATTCAGTTCGTTTGCATATTTAGCCTGCACTTTGGTAAAAAGAAATTACGTTTTATATTCTTTGTACATTCACACCTTGATTTCAGAGAGATTTTAAACTATACCAACCCATCACATCGGTCTAACCCCTGAATGTGAAGATGCTTTGGAAGAATTCAGACCCTTTTACCTGGTGCACTCTTAACTGTCTAATAAATGCAATTAAAATTGCAGATAATAGGATTTTATCAGTCCTACTATAAAGTTAAACTATAGTTATTTATATATTAATCCTTTGTATCTAGCCTCAGTTTGGTGGGCCTTTAGCAAACTGTTTTCCTCTGTAAGCAAGAGATTTTTAGTTACTTAAGCTGTTGTGGGAAATGGAGAGCAGAGCGAGAAATGCAGCTGTCATTTTACAACCCTCACCTGCCGCCACGAGCTCCGGGTAATGATTGAAAGAATGAGATCGTGGATTCAAGCGGCGGACAAGGGCTTCCTCTCACTGGCGGTCAGGGTTAGCGAGAGTGTGAGGTGAGCTCTGTCTCAGAGTACTAGTAATACGTGAACATACAAGAAGGGGAAAAAAAAAAAGCAACGAATGAATGGATGACAAGATGGGACACTTAATGTGGGATTAATTGCCAAAAAAGCACCTTTGCTTTGTTTTAAACTAAATCTTCACTGTAACGATAAAATGTGCAGCAGATGAATGAGTCTGAAAACTTCCCAAAGCTTTTACTTTCATGCCTTTGTTGGCTTAGTCTTCAATGTCACTTAGTAACTCAGGTTAATATGAGAGATGAAATGTAATACATGTGCTGTATTTTTAAATGACCAGTGGTTTGGTGCAGCATTCACCCACCCACATGTGTCGTGCGTGTTTAATCAAACATGCTCATTGTTTTTTATCTTTGTGTCGTGCCCGCTGATTTCACTGTGATACCGTTAGCGCGGTCCATTTGTCCTGTGAGCTGCAAACCACCCATAAGACCACTGGTTGTTTAAAAATAACATGCATATTTATTCAGATTTTACCGTTCAATTTCAACTTTAGGCATCCCAGAAATCTCAGGGATTTGATTAAATGTTAATTAGGAGGATATTTAGGTGTTTCTAAGATAAATAAACTGTTTTCAGGCTGTTATGATTGTTCTGATGTTTATTATGAAGTTGTCCAGTTGCATGTCCTCATCCTGTGCACCCCCCCCCCACACACCCTATGTGATGTGTTGCTGTGTCATGTTACGTGCCTCCACCCACCTGAAGCATGGGACTCCCATCATGTTGTTGTTATCTTCAGTGTGCGTCAGGAAGTTTCAGTTATTTTGGGGAAGCAGTTTTGATTCATTTATTTTTTGTGAGGTTTTTAATTTTATTTTTTGTTGTCATTTCATCCAGCACTGCTTTGGAAACTATGTTTAGGGGAATGCTGCCCACCCTCCTCCAACTTTTCCCAAAAACCACATGCTTTATACCCACATCATGCACACGCACACACACACGCACCGCAGAGGTCTGTCGGCCCACCTGCCTCAGCCATCCATACTGTACATATTCAGAAACCGAGCCGCTCACTCATTCAAACCCCACACATCCACTAATCCCTCCCAGTTTCTTCAGATTCCCACTGGGCTGGCTGAACCTGGCCATAGCGGCTCGGATACACCCACAGCAGCGCATGGTCTCTCTGAAGACATGTACAATCACAACTACACTCAGCCCTCCCCTCAGCCTCCTCCTGGCAGGCCTTCAACACATGAAACGGACCAAAAAATGTGAAGATAATCTGATACAAGAAGCATCCAGATTGAGTGACCCCGGAGCGGCTGGTCACGCTCCAAACCTCAAAATCTAAACACATTCACCAGTGAAGCTTCATCACAGGCCTCCCACCCCCTAGTGTAGATTTTGGAGCTCAGCCACTGGAGACAGGGTGGGCTGGAAACTTAAAAACCTACCCACAAACCGTAAAATACAAACCCGGGCCACACATGGACACCCAGCACACATGGACACCCAGCACACATACACAAACAGAGTGATGAGGGAAGAGGAGACGGCGGTAAGCTGGATTCTTTTAGCGTTGTGTCACGTTAGCGGATTTCATAGACCAGTCGGAGGAGATTTCCCAAGTTTGGTTGATGGACAGCATTAAAAAACCCCACGATATTAGATTTTCGCAGTGATGTGGAGCAACATATGCATCAGGCGTGACGTTCAAGACCGCCGAGCTGCATCAGTGTACACTCACAGACACAGGAAACCAGCAGAATTGAGACCAGCACAGGGGCATCAGCCTTGAAGTTGGTCCCTGATTTTATTTTATTTTTTATCTTTCTGAAACCTAATAAGATTTAAAAATCATCAAAGGAAAAAAAAAAAAGAAAAGCTGGCCTTGTGAAATAGCTGTAGGAAGGGAAAGCAGATGTGGTTATGTTCCTAAAACTGAGAGCACATTAATCATAACATTTTAAAGATGAAGTTAATCGTTCCCTTTTGGATGGATTGTTGACATCAGTACTGAAAAAGTAGCTTATTAGTTAATTAATGCTTTTTTTTTTAAATTTGAGTTACCAGCTCCTCAAATGTGTAGGTTTGCAATTTTTTCAGAAAAAGCAGGAATTTAAAATATTCCACTTTCGCCTCTGAGGAAACACTTCCTCCCATTTGAATAACTGAAATTATGTATCATTTCATAAACTTTATGAGTTATTTCAATCAAGTTAAATAGATTTTAAATGAATAATAAACACATGAATCATTCATGAAAGCAGTAATCAGATGCTTCTTTCCAGAGCAGCCGCGTCTGGACTGTTTTCACAGCTTGCAACTATTTTTTTTTTTAAATTTATTTATTTATTTATTTTACCTCACATTATCCTGTTTATGCTTGAAGGGAAATTGTGCTTGATTATTAATTACACCTCCCATTTGCAGCCTAAAAGGTTTACATGTAGATAACTTGGAGAGCTGCTTACTCTGATTTATAAATTATATAAAACAAATGGAGGGGAAAAAAAGCTTTTTCCATTTGAAACTTTTATTAGTTTGAATCTTAAAATGTTCTCAGCTGGTCGAGTTTTTTGCTTGTGATTTTGTCTGCTTTGCACCACAAAGCAGGTTTATATGACTTTAAATTTAAGGTATTTTTTGTATATTTGTTTTAATAAGAAACACAGGAGAAAATAAATGTTATAGTTGTTTATTAATAAAACTTTTTTTAAATCCCAGAGGACGCACTGAAGTGTGAGGCAGTACCTTTATGCAACTGAGCTCTGCCCCCACTTCTTAATATCAGTTTAGCTCGTACTTCCACTTTTGAGCCACTTTTTTTCCTATTGATTTTCCAGTTCTTTCGTCCCGTGGATGATCTTAAATCAGGGATGCTTCATTTTTGTTCTCGGATTCAGAATTGTTACACCTCAAACATGTCATCAGTATTTCTGAGTCATTTATCAAGATGCAGCTGGAACACCTTATGAAACGATGCCCCTGACCTGCTGGTACGGTTTAGTTTTGGCGCACTTTGCGGTTCTTACACGCGGCTGTAGTTCAGGTTCAGTTGGAGTTTGGGTGGGAGTCTCATCAGACTGGTGGAGCGCTGCTTGTGCAGAAGCAGAGTAGTGCAGCTCGTTGAGTAGTTTCCCACGTAGCTGATTAGTGTTAGGTGTGAGCCATTGAGAGCGGCGCTTACTAACAGGTTGTCCCTCCCCTAGAGGAGACAGGAGGAGGAGTACTACGCTCGCCTGGAGGCCGAGCGGCGCCGGCAGCACGAGGAGGCGGAGAGAAAGCTGCTGACGCCTGACGAGCCGGCCGGTCTGTATCGGCCCCCGCTTCCACGGGATTACCAACCCCTCGCCCCCCAAAACCCTACTAACACCCCCCCACCCCCACCACAGAGAAACACCTCCTACCTCAAAACCCAGGTCACCTCCCCCGACATGCTCTACACCGCCAAGTTTGTCACCTACACGGGCGATGACGAAGACGAGGAGGACGCCACCAAAGCAGGGAGTGGCGGCGGCGGCCAATCAGGTCAGGTGAAGCTGTCGGCGACCCGGAAGTCGTACGGCGACCTCCCGGCCACCGCCTCGCCTAATCACAGCAAGCCTCAGCCGCCGCCCACTGCGCGCAAGCCCCGCCCTCTTTCTGACGGCATCTTCCTGTCTGGCTCGTTCCAGCCGCCAGTCAACAACTCCAACAGTACAGCCCCCCCCCTTCCTGCCAAACCGAGCTCCATGCCCCCAGGAGGCTATAAAGGTAGAACTGGAGAGAGGAGTCAGGCTCGCCACAGCGCCCTCTAAAGCGCCCGCCCCTCCCTCTCACTCACTCATCTTCATTTTCTACCCACTCCTTTATGGTTTAGTGCTACTTTCTTCTTGGTTTATCTTGTTTTCAGTAGAGAGGTGTCGTGCCCTTTCACTTCCACCGTCTACTTTTTCCCTCTTTTACATGTTTGTCCAAATTTATTTGTTTTTTCCTTTTTTTTGTCGTCGATTCATCACTGTGTTAGTTTTTATATGTAGAAATTTGCCCCCCCCTCTCTCTTCCTCCTCAAGCAAATCAGGTTCTGTTTGTTTCATATTTTTCATTGTAGGTTTATTTGAACACCTCTTGTCCCCCAGTAATTTTTTTCCCCCGCCCTCCATCCTCATCTTCCTCCAATCACCCTCCCCTCCCCCTTCGATCAGCACTAGTGAACAGAAAAAAGCAATCGATAATCACGCCACCACTTTTTGCTGCAGATTGAGACCCATCAGAGCCAATCATAGTACTGTTGGTGTTGTCGCTCGCCGCCTCCTTTGTGTCTGGTTGGTTGCTGCTTGGGAATTTGGGTTGGGGGGGCGGGGGTAAAGGCCAGCCGTCAGTCTGCCTGCCTGCCTGCCCGTCCTCCCCACCCCCCCGCCCCCCCTGTCCTGCCCCGTGGCTCTGCTTAGCGGTGTTGGCTTTAAAGGGAAGGAGACACACCATTGGCTTCTCACACCCATCAATCACTCAATTGAGCAGAATCATTTCATAAACATGCAAAAACTGCACACAGCAGTGTGTTGAGTGAAGGAGCTCCTCTTTGTCTGTGTCTGTTTAAACGGCTCGTTTTCCTTCTCTATAGCTCAGTCTACTCTGACCACACTGACGGAGCGCCATAAATTCTAGAGGTTCATGATCAGGCTGCCGCTTTTGGTTTTTTTTTATCAAGAGGTTAAAATAGTCTTTAACGCAGTCCAAATGTGGATTTATCCATGTCAGATATTATTTCAAGATAGGCATCTCTTCTTCATTGTTTGAAAGAGTTCGAGCTGCAGCCAGCTGGCTGCTGTTTGGAAGTTTTGTGTTCCCACAAAAATTTCACCCAGAATTTTTATTTATTCCGTATCCCTTGGATAGAGCTCGTATAAAAGATAAACGCAGGTCTCCGCGATGGAAATGTGAAAGCTGCTGAGCCTTAAACACGCATTCTTTCCAATGACCAGCAGGCGGCGAGTAAACAAGCCAGCTTGGAAGCTAGCCTGAGAAGATGACCTCGCTAAGCAATTCCCTAATGACTTTATGGTCAGTTATTAGATTTACTTAATAAAAGATGATTGTTTTGTAAATGATGATCCAGTTTAGAGTTGAAGAGAAAAAACAAAGCAAGGTAAGATTTAGGGAGAGCTTCTCTGCTCCTGATGGAACAGGAACCCATGAGGTTTTTGATCCTCTTTTAGTTTAAAAGAACAAAAAAGTCCCCAAAATAAAAAAAAAATCAACCAAATTGGGGACTAAAGTGGATTTTTTTTTCTTGTCACATGTAAAAAGCAGCTCAGTCAAAAAACCTACAACTGATAAATTGAGGTTTTGACCCCAGTACATATGTGGTAGTGAGTTATTTCCATAGTATTGGTATCACAGATTCATCAGGTTTTTAGCATCTTCTGTTAAAAATTTTTTTTCATAATGTAAGGTTCCCAAAAATCTAGTAAGTACCTAAACTAGGCATTGTGTTGGCCTGAAAAAAGACAGATGACTCGGTGATGAGTAGACATAACGATCCCTTTGTGATGCTGTCAATTTGAGCAGTTTGAACATCCATAGACAAACAGAGCTTTGACTGCAGCACAGTCTGAGTTTCAGCAGCACCTGAGGTCCAGGAGGCCGCCTGCACATTTAACACGAAACCACCTCCATCGCTGCTGCTGCTTATATTAAAGATCAAAACACATCCAGGACCTCATGGGAATTCTGTGCTGCAATCTCACTTAAATTAAACAAAATCATCCCACTAACACCCCCCCACCCCCAACAACCTACCTCACCCAAACACCCCCTCCCCCCTCCCTCGGGAGTAAAATCTGCACGTTTCACCTCACAGTCAAACACATTGTGCATAAACACACAGCAAACAGTGCACTTTGGCTGCCAGCAGCTCACCCCAGTAACCGGCTTGATTTCTATTGCTTTTTACTGCCTGTGCATAGCTTCCACCAGGCTGCAGTCTGTATTTATTTCCTTATTTATTCTTTGCTGCTCTTCCCCACTTTGCGTGTCTGTGTTTTGGACTCTCTCTTAATTTGCTGTCCCAGAAGTGCCTAATTTTCCCTCCTCGAATCAGCTTTTGTTTCATTTCTGTCATCTCGCCTGTCAGTCTGTGTCTCTGCTGTAGCTTCAATGCTGTCTAACGCTGCGGCTTTATTTACTAAAACCTTATTACAACTTCCACAGGGCTTTGCGGCAGGTTCAGGTGAACAAACAGCACCTGAGTCTCCAGCTTCCCTGCCAATATGAAACTGTATTTGATGTGTGTTATTTGATCAGCTGGCAGGTCCTAGAGGTTTGAGTCTCACTTTAATAAAGTGTGGCCTCTTCTTGGGTTAGAGGTATTTTTGTGTAATCAAGATTGAAACCACAGGAAAAACAATGCAGATGCCAGTTTGCCTCAAAGGTGCACGAACCGGAGAAAGCTGCAGAGGAAGGACGAGTTCAGTTATCCGCCGAGAGCGATGCTCAAACAGAAAGATGTGTACCAGAGCAGGGAAACAAAACAGCAATTTAAACGGGCGTCCTTTGGCCTCCAAGATAACCGAGCCAGAGTAAAAGAAAAACATTCATAACCTTTGAGAATCAATCACAGGCCAGTGGATGACTTTTTTCATGTGAATGTGAAGAATTTTCTATTGTAGTGCCAGAAGTATAATTTTCATCTCCTTTGGCTGCACAGAGGAATGTTTCTGGCCTTGAACGAGGCTTGTTTCTCTGTGGTTGCTTTGTTCTCTGCCAGTTTGTATTTATGTGGGCTGAAGTGGGACCCGGTTTGATCCCGTCCCAGACTATACTTCAGATCCCCCACCCCCTCTTGCTTTTGGCTCCATAAAACCCAAAGTAAAAAGCCTGGGAGCTGCCAGCTGGATGAATCTATCGGGGTTCACACCCCATCACTGTGTCTGCGTCTGAACTGTACCAACCTTTGATTTGCATCCTGAAACACGAAACCTTACATCCATCTAGACTGCAGTTGTGCTCTTTGAAAAGACAGCCAAGTAGAGTTGGGACTGGATGTTTAATGTCTAACTCGTGGGTTTTTCCTGAGTGAGATTCAACCACTGTCCTCACCAGTACACAGAACACAAGAGAAGAAATCCTCTTTACCATGTGGATCCAGTGTTTCCTCTTAGCATGACGTGCCAAATACTGAGCCACGAAGAGAGTCTGCCAGGTTTTATCATCCCACATTTCTCCAAGTTCCTGCTTGCTGGTTTTAGCAACTGAAATGAAACATTTTATCAGCTAAAAACAGAAAAGAACAGCCTTTATGGGCATTTTTTAAATGATTCTGTATTCTTGTAAACGTCTTTAAAAAAAAAAAAGAAGAAGAAAAACAAAACCACGTCTGCTATTTTGAACAGGCAATTGGTGTGAGACAATTCCTAATTTATACTCAATTTATAAAAGGGAAAACAAAACAGCCAGGCACTGTCACACGGGATACTTTTACAAGTATCTGGGTTCTTTAGTTATTTCAGCACGTTACAGGAAAAGCTGTAAATGGTTCATCCATTGGGGACTATTTTCAGTGGTGGATTAATACGCGTTTGGACCACTGGGTTCCAACCAGGGAGCACTTTGCAGGTATTTCTCAAAACAGCAAATAGTTACTCAAATGAAGGTAGCTAGGGAGATACATCCGCCACTTTTCAGTGGCGGATGTATCTCTTTTGGTCATTAGTTCTGGTTAATTATGATTTGGTAAAATTAATAGATAAATGGTTAAAAATTCCATATTTTGCCCTCTATGTGGTAGCAAACTTGACTAACTCTATAAAAAGAAACAAACCAAAGCCTGGGTTGGTCACCAGTCGGAGGCAGTAGATCTGCAAACAGCTTCAGGAAGGAAGCAGGAATCTGCACCAGCATCCAGTCTGAAAGTGGCCAGCAAGCTCCAACACATTTGGGCCGATGTGTTTAAAAAAAGAGCCTTAGTCAGAATTAGAAGTCTGTTTTTCTTCCTGTCCGGCTCCAATGCAGCCGTGTTGGCCAGAGAAGATGTAATTGGGTGTCAGTGATCAAAGTGTGCCCGGGATCTTTGTGTTTTGGAGCTGAAGTGAGCGATGGTCATTTTTAACAACCAAAGGGAAGTAAACAAGCAAATAAAAGAGAAAGTTCAAATACTTCTGAAGCTTTAATATCAGCACTGTCGGTTTTGGTCTTTATTGAAAGTAAACCATTAACACTTCTATAGCCAGCAGGAAGGAACTTGTATTTTTGTGTGCTGGAAACAAGTCTCAGACTCCTGGCTCATCGGATCCTGCGATGGTTTTACGAAGCTTTACCTTCGTTAAGCTGTTGATGTTGCTACAGTTTGGAAAGACACAGGAATGCATAAAACTAACGTCTTACTTGGGGTTAAAGGTCGCGGTCACCCTCTTCATGTTTGTTCACCTGGCTTCTTTGGGAGCCCTTCTTCATTTTTCTGAAGATGCGCAGAGTTTAAGCACTTCTGGATTTAGATAGTAACAGAATTGGTTCAGACATGTTTAGCGGTGACCTCAACCTCAGAGCCCACCTGACACTTCCACAGACCATTGTTGCTGCTTGGGAATGGCTCTTTAACTGCTTTTTACTTTAGTGCTGTGTTTCTCTCTCTGCTCGCTGCTCTAGTTTAATGAGATCTGAGGTTTTTGTCTAATGCTTCTCACAACTCGCTCTCTTTTCTTTCCTCCTTTCTGCTTAGGCTGGTCTGTGGGAAATGAAGTGATAATGACTGGAGAAGCTGCTGGGTAATGGTCACCAGGGTCTCTGGTCTGCTGTCGATTCAGTTTGACTTAAAGCATTTTCAAGTGCACTCACTATGTGTAGTTGTCGTCACTGATAATTGATATCAGAGATCTTCCGAACCGTCTCCCAGCAGCTTCTGTCGCAGATGATTTTTGGTTAATCACAAGCTGCACATAAGCGATGCTAATTCGTGTCTTGCTGCTCTTTGTCTTTCTGCTGTGTGGCTCATGAACATCTAGCAGGATTTAACTCGTACACTGGAAACTCATCAGGAGTTGTAGGAACAGGAGAAGTATACAAGGACCCGAGAGACAAATGGACGAGGAGGTGAGCTCTGTTTTATTTATTTTTTTTCTTTCTTTGCCACTTTTAGTCATGGGTGGTTGTCTCTGTTGTAGCAGTCTACATTCATTTTGCCTTAAACTACAGATAATTTGGGTTTAAGTGCCTTTAAAAATGAATTATTCCTAATGACCAGCAGGGGGCAACTCCTCTCGCTCTAAAAAGAAAAGACACCTACTTCTCACTTGACTTAATGTCTCAGTAAACGCTCCCCTGGTGAGTTTATGGTCTCGGTTACTATTTTTGAGTCATTAAATAAAAAAGGATGTTTATTTTGTAAATGATCATCTTTATTTTGGAGGGAAAAGTCAAGTTGGTGCTCAACTATAATAAACCTGCATTATTTCTTCTAGTAAGTTTCTGGTTTTAATCTTAATTTTGCAGTCAAGAGCAGGAGAACTCGATCCCCAGCGATGCTCCGGAGAGTCTGACCTTCAAGGAGCGCCAGCGCCTCTTCTCTCAGGGGAAGGAGGTTTCCAACAAGGTCAAGGCTTCTCGCAAACTCATGGAGCTGGAGAACGAGCTCAACACCAAGCAGTAGACCTGAGCCTTTCACCTCCCAGCGCCACCTTAACGCCGACGCCACCGTGATAAGGTGCTCCTGGGGGACAAAAACATCGAGAGAGAGAGCCGGCGCTTGCTCCCCCTGACACTGACCGTCGCCGCCCATTTGTTTTCCCCTCTCTCTCTTTTTGCTTTGACTTAAATCATCGAATAACTGGACCACTCTTTTTTTTCTTTCTTTTTTTTTTCTTTTTGACGTAGCGATATCAGCAGAAGAGATTTTTATGGCTTAAAAATCTGCTTCCCCTTCGTGTTAAAACCTGTTAAAGATGTATAATGATAAAGCACTGTAAAAAAGTTTTAATTATATCTAGTGAGAGTCCGAGAATCACATGACAGAAAGGGGATATATTTTTGTTTGTAAATTTTTTTTTTTTAATTTTTTTTTTTTTTTTTTTGGGGGGGGGGGGTGAGAGATTTATTCTCTTTTTTTTTTCATAGCTAAGTGAAATTTGAACAGTTTTACAGTTTTATTTTATGCTCTATTTTCTGTATCATGTTGTTTTTCAATCTTTTAATCCCTCCTTGCCAGCAGGAACGCCCAACGTTGAACTCCACACCTTTTTATTTTATTTTTTTATTTTGTTTTTTTAATTAAATTCTCAGCGAGTGGAAACACTGTTATTTCATTCTATAGCGAAAAGGTGTGGGACATCTTTTTTTTTTTTTTTTTTTCTGTTCTTCTGTGATTTTGTTTTAGAAAAACTCTGAAAAGGTTCTTCGGGAAGGATCTTTTAAGTGCACAACATTACTGTAAATACTTGGGTCCACTCACTCTTTTACTACTGTAGAAATCTGCCAGGAAACTTTAAAAAAAAAAAAAAAATCTGCAAAACTAATGTGATTTAACAGCCCACCCCTCCTCTTCGCTGCCACCAGAGTCACATTTTTACGTGTTTCTCCCCTTCCTGACTTCTACTTTTATTTCCTTTTAACCAGAGTAGTCGTGTGAGATGAATTTTTCGCCCTAAATTCAAGTCAGAAAAAGGAACTTGTTTTGTTCACCCACAATGTGATTAATGTTGGTTTTCACAGTAATATTAATATTGACAATAATATAACAAAAAGGAAAAAAAATGCAGCTACTCTTTAAGTGCTTGTTTGCTTTACAGATATTTATTTCAAACCTTGTGGAAAAACTTGCACAACGACTTGTTTTATTATTAAATATGTATCTGCAAACTGTTCTGAGATTACATTCGGGAACTCTGTGGTGATAAGAATAACAATAATATTAATAATCTGTGGGTTTTTCTGCTTTAGAGACAGAAGTGTTCTGTTTTTACACCAGCTGTAGTAGGAGGGAGCCAGGTGTTTCACAACATGACCCAATTGTACAAATATACACAACGCAACACAACACACAAGTGCAGTCTCAAAAACTCACTCACCGCCACTGCTGATGTAGAAATGAAGCGCACTTCAAACCCCCTCCCCCAAACTTGTGACGTTTCAGATGTATCTCTCTCTCCCTCTCCTGCAGTTTGTTTGTTTGACTCCATCCTGTGTGTCGACTTATATATTTTTTCTCAACAGGAGCCTCTGATAAGACATGACGAGTTAAAGACGCTGTTATAATAACTGACCTGTAAAAACACTACAAGATGCTCCCCACACATACAAACAAACAAACACAGCAACAACACCAACTTCTCCTTTTTAGGTTTCAAAATGAACTGAATCATTTAAATGGTTTCATGTTTAGCCTTTTGTAAATCATTAATAAATACAGATTTTTCAACAGTGTGGACTGGAAGCGTGGTCTTTTGTCACTGCGTTTAAAATCGACATATGGTTAGAAACAATTCAATTAATTAAGACTATTACTTAACTAGTTAGGGTGTTATGTATCCTTCACAGCCTATTTGTATATTTATACGGTCACTTTTTGGGTACATCAGCACTTTGTATAGATAGAAAGGATTAAAGACAAGCTATTTATAAAAGCCAGTGGTACATTCAAATGGAATATGAACTGGCGGTGAAACGGTGCTGGGGCATTTCGGGTGTATTTAATCTGGGACAAGTGCTCTGATTTTGGAAGTTGTGTTTGATAAACTATTATTATTATTATTATGTGTTACTACCGGTATTTTAAGTTGTCATTAATGATACAAAAGGTAACTATTCGTAAAATATTCCACCAGATAAAGTCGGTGTAATATACTTGATGGTTAAAAATTAAAGGGCTTCCGAACTCGCATGAAACGATGGTGTTTTTAAGATTTCTTCACTTATAACATAATTTGCTAATAGTTTCCAGCACATCTAACCATGTACTTGAAAGTATGATCTGTCGATATTCGGCGTATTTTATTTTAAAATGTGTAAAGGTTAACAAAGTTAATACTGTGGCAGATCGTCACTCTTCGGAACTCGCTGAAGAATCCTGACGTTTTAAAGATTTTTCTTTTCGGTTTTGCTGATAATGCATGTACACCTACTGGCGCACGTTTAAAAAAACTTATATGTAAATCGGCCTGCTTATTTTAACGCGTAATCAACTATAGCATAAAAATTGATAGGGTAACTCTGGGAGAGCTCTTCAGAACTCGCCCGGGAATTCTACAGTCATTGGAATCGACACGTTTTTAAAATGTCTTTGCTGTTTATGCGTTTTGCTTTTCGATATTAGTGTAAGGATTGGTACACAGAACTTAGCAGCTGAATCGGCGTTCTTTATTTTCCAATACATTAACAAATATAAATCTAAACCCACCATCATTACATTTGGGAACTCTGTGGTGATACGAATAATAATACCATCATATCACCACCAAAAGCAAAACTATAACGCTCAGCAACATTACACTTCCTGTTTCCTATCATCTTTAGGTGGAAACTAGCGAGCTAACTCTCTGTTAACTTCTTACTCAGTTAAATAAAATAAAAAAATCCGTTTCCATGGATACCTGGATTTCAAACTTAATTTTTACAACTGGTAGAGCAGCCACATTGATCATTTTTATTAAAGACGAAATAATAATTTGGACAGTAACTCGCAGTGATCCTGTGACTTTTGAACTTGAGGCGGAGTTCTGACCCGGAAGCGGTTAATGACATCAGGCTTAAAGACCGGAAAAACACATCTCTGTGTAGAGATTATGAGCGACAGGAGTAAATACGTTTAATATAATCATCTTTGTTTGTTGAAATATATTATGAAAACATGTAACTTTTTTACCGCGTTTGTAACAGAAAACGAACATGGCGACGGTTTATTTCTGTAACGTTAACCCGCGCCAGTGTCCTCTCTCTGGAGGTCTATTTAGAAATATGACACAGAATACACACAGAGCATTATCAGTACGACCATGACGGTATACACAGGCTTTATCACTAAGGTTTTTTTCCCGGGTTCCTAGATGTCAGGATGGCCGAGCGGTCTAAGGCGCTGCGTTCAGGTCGCAGTCTCCCCTGGAGGCGTGGGTTCGAATCCCACTTCTGACAGTATTTTTTTTTTTTCTTTTCTTCCTTCCTTCCCATCATCGCCACAAAATGTTTTCATTACTGTTCTTATCATCAATTTTCACAACGTGATCACTCCAAACTAATTACATTTATTATTGGCTGCAGTTGTGGACTTAAAGATACTCATGAAAATAATAACGGGGTGTACTGTACTTTGTGGTATAATGCCACTTTTATGTAAAATATACTATTTAAAGATAAATGTACATCTCTTTCAGCTGCATTTATTTCTTTGACTCTATTTGGACAGAAAAAGAAAGTTTGTTCCTAGCAGCACTGCCTCATTGAGGAGCTTATAAAAAAGAAATCTTGGCTTGACAGCACCATCAAGTGGAACATGTGTGCAGGTCATAAATTTTTTTTAAAAAACCCTAAATTCCTTAAACACACAAGTGACTGATTGCTGACTAAGACAACAAACAACGTGAGACCAAAAGAACAATCAGTAAAGATTTTATTTTTCACAATGTGGCCTTGACTCAAAACGTATTTAAAATATAAAAAGAAAAGTGTCAGAAGTGCTGACAAGGTAGTGACAATATTTTGTCTTAATCAGGCAATTACTTTTTATTTTAAGTTTTAGATATTTGAAAGTATGTGAAATTTAATAACAAAAACATCTTTTGGTACTACATGTTTAGTCAAAATGACCAGAAACAGAAATTAGAACCAATATAATATTTTTCACACAAACAGCTGTTTAACTTAAAGAACTGTTTAAATTCCTTAAACATCCACAAAATTTTTGTGAACAAGCCCAAACTTATTCTGAGTGACATCGTCCCCTCACATCCCCCAGTGGACTCAAGCTTCACAAGAACCTTCCTCTTCTGGCCCACACTGCTCCTCACTGTGAAGGACCTGGGAATGAGCTCTAAAGGGGCTTTGCTCCAGGAACCTGAAAGTGCCAGAGGTTAAGCACAAAAAATGTGATATTTATCTCACAAATCCACACACATTTCATTGTTCTTTCATTCATTTATTCACCGACTAAAGCACAACTGATATATACGACACTAAGAATACTGAATCGTGGATTTGAAGTCATTAAAAAAACATATCAAAGGACTAAATATGTGCTTATTTTGATCACTTCTAATACACTTTCAGTCAGATTTTAAATTATAAAGCATACCTGAGTCCTAGCATGACATCCACATAGCTGGCATGTCCAGCATCCACCAGCTCCTTGGCAACATGGACACCATCTACAAGAATGTCCACCTTCCAGTGTGTGTTTGACACAAACTCTCTGAAGAAGATCTGGAGGTTCTTCCCATACAAACATTGCTGGAAGAAGACCACCGCCTCATCAGGCCACTGATCATCCAATCCAGCTGGCTTCACACCTCTCAGGATGCAGGAATAAGTGACCTTTGGGAGGGTTGTTATCTTGTCTGGAAGGTCATCCAGCTCAACTGACACTTTGTTTGTTACAAGAAGAAAATCCTCTAGAGACACACAGAAGTCAGAAGGCGTCTTAACTGCAGCAGCAAAGCCAGAATATAATTTGTCCATTTGAACTGGAGCAAAGGCAAGCCGCTGAGGAGGGCTGGTCTCCACGGTTGGTCCTTTTTCAGTGCCTCCATTTTGCTGCAGTGACACAACTTGATGCAACATGAGAAACGGTTTGTTTATGATTATTTCAACCATCCAGAGGCTATCCGCTTCAGAATAATGCACAAAAATCAGCTTGACTTCTTTGCCTATCAAGGGTTTCAGAGTTTCACACCAGTGTCTGTGATCATCGTCCATCTCAGTGAACCCAAGCCTGTTCATCTTGCACAGCACTGCAAGGTTTGGGAATTTCAACAGGTCACTACACTGCTGTCGAATGGAACCAATTGGGATTTCCACTGTTATTCCGTGATCCACCAGGAAAACATTGACATTTTCATCATTCAGGTGCTGAACTATGGCTCTGTGCCACTTGTTGTGACTCTGGACTTGAACTAAGCACTTGAGGCCTTGTTTGATATCCTCTCTTGCTACCATCTTGCACTTGACCAGGCTATCTGCAATGTGACTTTCCAATGCAGTGAGACAGTCACTGGTCCTAAGAAGTCTTACGTAAAAGCAGCCATTACTCTGGACCGACAAAAGCATTCCATTCTCTGAGTCTCTGGCTTGAATAGATGGGGTAAGGGATGCATTTCCAAATCTCTTTGTCGTCTTACTCTTGCTACTCTTGACTCTTATCCTGCGATACCTGTGAATTTTCATCCTCATCGGCACTAACACCTTAACAGATGGTGGTTTAGGCGTGAATGTTTCACCTTTGACAGTAGCCATCTTTCTTTCAGACCTTATTTCATTCTTGCATGCTTCATCTCTTTGGTTATTCTGTTTGTGGGACCTCAATTTCTCATTAGCTTCAGAATTAGGAGACTCATCCTCCCTTTCAGTTACAGGTCCTGCATTAAGGCCCACTTCTCCATCAAGAACCTTAATCTTTATGTCCCACTTGGTTCCACATTGCTCTATGAACTCAACCATCAGTGGCTTCTCCATTACTGCATCAGTGAAAGCCACATCATTTCTGAATGTGCTTGGATCCAGCAGCGAGCATAGTATACTGAATCTCGGATGTGACAGATGCTCCTTTGGTATAGAGAAGATCTTTTTCTTCTCAACGACTGCCGAGTTTCCATAGTCCACAAACTCAACTTTGAAACACGAATTGCCTGCAAAGTTCTTCACAACTGAACGATAAAGGGCACCGTCCTCCTCAAACTCAGCCAAAACAATGTCATTGATTCTTAAGGTTGTAGGCATCTTCAAGGATTCTCTGAGGGTACCTGAGTTGAGAGCTTCACCCATTTTCAAGATGGCAGGTTCATCCTCTGACAGCTGAAGAAAAAAGCTGTAAATGGAGTCTGTGTGGGAAACAAAACACTTTGCCCTAAAGCCTGCACATATCTTTTTGTCAGGCAGCAGTTGGGGTATTTCTTTTGCCTCTTTCTGTTGGGCTTGCTTCTGTTCCTGTCTTTGTTGTTTCACTTGACTGTTCTGCGATTTCACAGAGGCCCGGGTGTTCAATGTGCCCTCATTCTGTGTTCTCACTCTTGTGTTCTTGCTTTGAGTTCTCCCACCAACAAGGCTTTTTGTGTTTTCTTTCTTTTTAGTACCTCTGTGGACAGTGGACAATGTCGAAAGATTTGAATACACTCTAGGATGACTCTTGCTTTTTAACGAAGACTTTGTGTTTCGTTTGCAGGAGGTTTTCTGTTTTCTGTTGATCATCTCAAATCTAACAGCAGTCTTGGGTTTACATGAAAGACTGAGAATGAGCTCCTTCAACTTCTCATTGATGTTCGTGTCTCCATCAAATAATTCGACATCAAATGAACCATCTTCATTCTTTCCAAGTATGACAGCTTTCACTTGCTTGTTGAGGACTGCACTACTGAGCCACTCCTTAACATCTGCATACACATCTTTCTTGGACACTGAATGGAGACAACATCTCACGGCTTGCATGGGCGTGTACAACAAATCTGATGAGTCTCTCGGGATGAACATGACTTTGGTCTTCTCTGATATGCTTGTGTTTCCATAGTCCACAAAAAACACACTGAAATGCAGAGGTGAATGAATAGGATGCACTACACCGCGGTACCACTTGCCATCAAAGTATTTTGCCAGGCACAGTTTGCTTACAACAGCTCTTGTAACAACTTGCATCATGTGTTTACTCTCCTCTGAGATTTTCTTCTCAAGCTCAACAATAATGTCAGTGTTTCTTTCAAGATGGCAGTAGACCTCCCACTGACTGTTAACGTAGGTGACATACATTTGTTCCTCATTTCCTGGGTGTAGATCATGTGAAGAGTAGATAAAAGATTCCGGAAACGCTGCTTGCTGTTGCCTTGTTGACGCCGTCACTCGTGTTGCCAGGCCTTGTTCTGTGAACGTATCTGTCACACTCTGCTGGGTTTGGCTGTTGTAGAGATCAACAACATTGCACAGCCCCTTGTTTTTCACATATAACTGGGAGACAACTTTACATTTTAGAGCTCCAGTGCTGCTGAAGACAAAATCTTTCAGCAACCTACAGCCTTCTGGACTCCAATTCCCAGAGTTCTTAGGGTCAGCAGGTTCAATTAAGTTGTAAAGGCTGCACCTGAAAGCTTGTTCTTCCAAATAAAGAAATTCTGGCATTATTGCTTGAAGAATGTGTTCACTGACTTGGACAGTATTCCCATAATCAACCAACGTTACTGTGACATTGTCTCTCTGTTTTGCAGTGATTAAGGCCCTGTACCATCGTCCATCTTGAGGTGACTTGGCAATGCAGCATGAATCTCCTGACTCTAGGGGAACCCAATGAGTTGAATAATACTGCTGAAGTTTATCCATCAGTTCTTCCAAAGCTGGAACCATGTCTTGAGGCTGGCACCAGAAATCTGATGGAGAGCTGATATAAGAGCAGTTCACAGTCAACTCACACCCAGGCTTGATATTTAACAGCTTGATGCTAGCAAGAAGTTGAGCTTTCTCAGGTTCATTCTCAGGTTCATTATTCAATGCATTCTCTTCTTCCTTAAAAATCTTCCATTGCTCCTTATCCTCAGCGATGTTTGTTTTCACATTACTTTGGAGGCACCTTGTCTTTTCTGTCCTTTTTTGGTCCAAGTGCCCTTTCGGAATGTATTCAGCCTGCTTGGAAGAGACCAGGAGCTCAGTAATACTCTGATTGTTGCCACTTCCCATCTCAAAAAGGTCAACAACAAATTTGTTTTTTCTCATTTGTACGACATGGACTAGCAAGGCTTTGTTTGACACAGCTCTTCTGAAGAAATCAGAGGCTGAACTTGTCCAGATGTCTTCAACAGGAAAAACATTCGAAAGAGTACAACAAATGGCAAATGCCGCCTTGCAGGCAAATGACTCAGGAATATTCTTGATCAGCATGTGTGGCACTTTATCAGTGTTCCCAAAATCGATGAACAAAACTTCAGCTCCGTGCTTAAGAGTGTCTGTCACTACACCCCTGTAAAAATGCATGTCTCCCTCATAAACCGCACAGCACAGTGTTCCAAGCTTAGGATTTAACAGTACGTCTTCATCCAGCTTCACGTGTTCGAAGTGTTCTGCCATCTTTGACATCATTTCTTCAAACTCCTCATTGCGTTTTTGTGTTCTAATCCAGAAATGGTTTGGATTTTGGACATGTTCAACATAGCCCACAAACACGGAGTCTACCTGCACCTCTTCTACCTTCAGCGTTTGCCCCAGTGTTTCGCCCATGATTGTTTCATGGTACAAGAAGCCACCCTGTTCTTCAGCCTCAGAAACGGACTCAACCTTCATGACTGGACACTTTCTGACAGGCTCCGGCTCTTCCACACCTTCATCTTCAGCACTAATTATAGTGACACAGTACAGGTGGTGTTCTTCATCGTATCTAGTGATCTCCACGTGTAATCGTCCTCCAAGTAAGCCTGATTTCAGGAGACACAACTGCTGAGTTTTGATGGCCTTATCCTCATCACTCAGGCATGCCAGAGAGCAAGGGAATGCCATAATTGGCGTTGAATACAATTCAGGTGCCAACCTGTGGATGTTTTCAACTTTGACGGATTCAACGAATCCGTAGTCAACAAATGAGACTCTAACCCAAGAACTGCCTGGGAGAAACTGCACCAAGCCTCTGTACCATCTCCCATCTTTGCTTTTAGCTGAGGACAATAAACCCAGGTTCTCTGGAGTCATCTGAGAACTTTCTTTAGGTCTGCATTCACATGATGCAGCTAACTTCTTTGACATTTCCCAGAGCTCTGCTTCCACACTGGCCATCTGACAGTAAAACAGCCCAGGGCTGACAGCAGCAGTTACTCTCACTTTAGCTTGTGTCCCACAACACAAGGATGGTCCATAGAGTGAAAAAATGCCTTCATATCCCTGCAAACCTGATGGTTTAAAACAAACTTCTTGTCCCCTTGGCTTTTCAATGAGTAAGTCAGGAACCGGCTCTATTTTCTGTTTGAGAGGCATCTCTGTAAGCATCTCTACCAAGAAGAGAAATGTATCAGTGTCCACATATCTCCCAAAGCCATGTGTAACTAAGCCGGTGTTGATGTCAGGGACTTCTAGTAGGAGGACTTTGTGGGGAAGCAGTGCTTGAATGTAACCGTTGATATTTCTGCTGATCAGGCTTGAGAAATACTCCTCAACCACAGAGTGAGAACAACTCTGAAGAAGCAGCACATTAGCAAGAAAACCACAAACTATTTTCGGAGGCAGGATGAACAGGTCATTTGAACAGGAAGAAACGTTTGTGGCACTGACAGTCAACACGTTACCGTGATCAATGAGGAAAACATCAAAGAGGTTGTCCCGTCGTTTCTGAACTCTTCCTCTGTACCAGCGAGCTGAAGTCAAATCTTCCACGAGGCAAAACTCTCCAATATCCACTTCAGCTTTAGTCTTTGGTACATTCTGTATTTCTCCCTGCAAGATACTGTAGTCAAGTTCACATATGGTGAGGTACTGTCCCTGGAAGTGTATCAGGATTGCTTCAGGGTTCCAGTCCAAGTGAGTTAACTTCAGGTCCACTGGCCAAAGGGCGCATGGTGCCGACGGGGATAAATCTTGAGACCTGCAAAGTAAAATGGCTTTCATTATGAACAGTAGTTCATACAAGTACAGATTAAATGGTTACTTTGTATAGAATTTATATTCATGTTTTATGTATTATTTATATATGCCAATTCATTGAAATGTTAAAATGCAAGGAGTCAAAATCACTCTGATATTCCATACCAAAATCTCATTTCCCAATATCTAATAATGAAATGTATCAAAGTATATTACATTTTATGGAAACTCTATAAATGACTAGTTTATTAATAGTGCTAGTTTATATAAAAACCACATTAAAGAATTTTTTTAATTATAAGCTCAAAGATGAATGGTGCTAATCCATATGTGATTACTTTTCTCCTTTTACACAGAACTATTGGGAAATGTTCTCTGGTCCACGTCAGACTTCTCATAACCAAACCACATGCGTGCCACAAAGAGACGCCCTCATTTACAAACAAGCTCCTCGATTTGTCTCGGCTGGTCTTTGTCCTGCCTCTGTCTCACCTTTACTCACCATGCTTACATTCACATTCCTGATTGCTTCCAATCATCCAAATGATGAAAACAATATTGCCATAAACAACAGAGCATAACTTGAAACAACAGATGTTTTTATTTGAGATCCAATATCTGGGACTAATATCACTGAAATTGTGACTCAAAAGCCAGGATTTGACTTTCTGCCTTTATTACACCATGTATTAGTAGCAGTGCATCGTTATGTCATGCCTCGTAAAGTTTTGCATGGCTTATACGACTTAAAAGCCCTAACAATGACAATCCCTTCTCTATCAGCTTCTTTTCTTCTCTCAGTGTAGCACAATGCTCCTTATATCTGAAATTCTGTTTCTGAAATTTGTGCAATTGAAAGGCTGAACAATTTAGCTTTGCCATTTTCCTGAAGCTAATTAACAAAGAAGAAAACATTATAAAACATCAAAAAAATATGTTCTTTTAAATACCCAGAATTTTCCAAACTGTGTATCCCCTGCATAGGAGCATGAAGTCAGATATAATACTTTTACATAATGGTTTTACACATTTGTGATGCACTTTAGAAAGAAGTATAAAGATCTGGTTTTCACGAGATATAAAGAAGAGATAGCTGTTGAATTTCAGTGAATTTGTTAGCCGTGGCTTCACTACATGATATTGTAGTGTGTTTTGCTTTATTTTGTACAGAATGTTTATATTATAATATATTTTTTCTTTTTTTCCTCTAAATGATTTTCTGCATATTGTCTATGTGATCAAAATAAATAGAAAAAGAAACAGAAAAGCACATTCTTACCTTTCAAGATCAGATCCCAGTGTGGACTGCATGGCAGCAGAATAAGGAACAATTGCATCCCAAAATAAACCTGTAGGGAGGGGAAAAAAAGCCTTAATTCGACAACTAATATATGATTTAAAGCCAGGCTTCTGAGGTTATTATCAGGTACAGGTATTTCTCTCACCACATATATATACATATATGTTAGGGGTGCAACGATACTCGTATCGGTATTGAACCGTTCGATACAGTGCTTTCGGTTCGGTACGCATATGTATCGAACAAATATTTTAATTTGTTTTTTCAACTTCTCTTCTGACGATGCTGTCTGTGTTGAGAGCTCAGTGGATCTGCGTTCGACTACTCCGCCTAGGCTGCACTGTCGAGCGCAGATCCACTGAGCGCAGCGCAAGCTAGCAAGACAGAAGCTAAGCTGGAAGATTGTAAAAGATGTGAAAGATCCCGCTATGTAACAGTCAATCATAAGCAAAATACTGAGGTTCAGAACACATAAGGAGGATGTCAATATATAAAGACAGACGATAACAAAAAGAGAAGCTAAACACAACAGAGCTTCTAAGAATATAGAGCGTACATAACACAGTACAATATCTTATAGAACTTCAAAATTCCAAATAAAAATCAAGAGAAACAATCACAGCTCCCAAGCGAACTAGACGAGAGGGAAGAATTATGTTCTCTAAACTGACAGAAAAATGGCAAGGAAAGAGACAGAGAGTGGGGACTGCTGTCGATACATAACTGTGATGGAGCTACAAAATACGCAGTTTTTAACCAGTGAACGCGTTCATATCATTTCCTAATTCAATTCCTCTGTAACAAGGAATTGTCATCCCAACTTGCACCACAAAAGAATTCCAAAGACCAAATACCATGAACACTCTTTCTGGCTGAAACACAATCGAGATTTTCCTGACATGATGTGAGAACGACTCTGAATACACTAGCACAATAGACAGCAAACTGGCCTTTCTCACATCATGGCTTATACCTGAGCCACGGCTTCTCACATCATGTGCTTGTCAATGAGTTGTGAGGCAAAAGTAAGGGCGAACGCCTGGAGCTACCTAGAGGGGGGGGCCAAGAGTCTGAGAGTGAGCTTAGACTGTCCAATGCTGCATAATACGCACCGATGCAGAAAGATTGACCGAAGGCCCCCCTGGTGAGGGCGACTGCAGGGCGGACAGAGAGGGATCTGGCATGCCTACAGGCGCACCATCTCAAGAGGCAGCACTAAACACCGAGTCACCAGGAAAAGAGCGTGATCACAGGCCTTCTGTGATCTCGAGACTCAAAGATGTGTGTTTGTGTGTGAATGAGAAAAAGAAAGCCGCGCCTCCTACACAGCAAGTGCTCTGGTCAGAGAGCAACATGAAAAACAGGGAGAGAGCGTGTAAAAAAGACACACAAAAACGGCACAGACAAGAGCAGCAGCTGTTGGAGTGTAAGCTGTGTTTGTGCATGCATGCGTGCGCGTGTGTGTGTGTGTGTGTGTGTGTTGTAGTGTGTGTGTGTGTGTGTGTGTGTGTGTGCTGTGGTGTGTTGTGTGCTCATGTGTGTCGTGGTGTGTGTTGTGTGTGTGTAACAGACCCCCATGCACGACGACAACGGACGCATCATGTGCCTCCAGACTACAGTTTGAGGATCTTTACTGGCCTCAGGTGTATGAGGCAGAGCAAGGCAGAGAGATACCACGGGGACAGGGAAGTAGATTATGGATCCACCTGTCAAAAGCACGTTACTGAAGATATATTATTATATCTCCTCTCGCTGCTTCTTTTCCTCTTTTCCTGGAAGATATATAGGTTACATTAAGCGACTATTAGGCTTGAACTATAAAACGCTGCTCCACAAATCTGCTAGTTCTCACAGCACAGAGATGCCCGAACATGTTATTCTTCATTGAGTAACAAACCACAGGCACAGAAATAATAAGGAGAGCGAAAAACTGGAAAGATGGAAGGAAAGTGATGCGGAGGATGAAAAGAAGGTACATCTTTTAATATTTGGGCCTGTTTAAAACTGCTGAGATCGATGGTTTCATCAATAAAGGAGGGCAAAAGGTTTGACTTGGTGGCAGATCGAGGTTCAACCGTCAACACTCACATCTGCTTCAGAGCAAGAGAGATGGGAGGAGGAGATGCTGAAGCAGCATGATTGAAATCACTGTGGAGTGACTTTTAATGAATGTCTGCTCTTCTTAAGTAACTACAGCAGCTTGATATACGTGTAAATGCTGCCTCACAACCACACAGCAAAAGTAAGACGGGCAAAAAACTTTGTTTGACCAGCTATGGAAAATATTACGTGAGAGATAAAAAGCATTTGGCTACTGAAAGGGTAGCCTCATGCTTACGCTAAGAGAGATATAACTTAAAAGTAAAATTGGAATATTTAGCAGAACAGAACGGAAAAAAGTTAGTAATGTAAAAGTATTATATATCATAATAAGAAGGCATACAAACCCATTACCACGGCATGCCACCACATCAAATCCCCTGCCTGCCTCGCATGGTAATAAACTGAATATACTGCAACATTTCAATACAAAGCTCAGAAAGTCCGAGATAATATAAGCTATTATACACAGGTTGAAATCCTAATTGAGAAACCATGTCTAAAAGGCTTTTAAATTTGATCCCATTTCCGTCATTTCTTCCATAATTGCTGTTCTTCTCATTTTCTTTAATGTAGGATGATCTGGTTAACTGTGACAGGGGTAGCTAACAGAGTGATGAGTTACACTTGAGGTCGGAGCCTCTGGCACTTCACGCGAAACCAAACAAAATCATTTTCCTTCCACTCCCTCGTGTTGTCTCCCTTTCCCTACATCTCTGTGCATCTGATTGTGTCGGGGAGTAACAGAGATATTGTGATAGCAAGAAAGCAGATGAGGCATCGGGTTCACATCTAAGACAGTAAATCAATACTGCTGTTACAGTAATACATAAAAAAGTACATGGTCAACAAGTTGAAGATGTAGTAAACTGATAACAAGATGCTGATTGGTTGCTTCTCCACCAGAGGGAGACATTTTTTTATTCAAATATGAATCTGTGAGATCAGCACAGCCTGTCGAAACTGACCTGTGCCGCATGCTACTGCCCACCAAGTGATTGCTAATCCAGATATATCAAAACATAAAGGAAAAACAGCTCCAGTGGCAGATTTGCTCACATACACTCACATTCACCTGTGAGTAATCCACTGCCACTGAGCTCATACCCTGAGCTACTGCAACCACAGGATTTTTCTACAAATTAGACGTTATTTAATATCAAGGTCAGGAAAGGTTGAGTGGCTCAGACAGACAAGAAGGGAAAAAAATCCTCTCATAATAATTTAAATACTGATGCGCGGCCTTCAAACCATTCAAAACTGCAAAACCAACAAAGTCAACAAGCCTCCACTTCTTTCTAAGCATATTTGCATTCACAGACGCGTCATTGAGGAAAAGGATCACTCAGCAGGATGAGGAATAAGACGAGCCTTTGTAGTCAGAGACTCTTTTAAAAGCAGACAATAGACCAAAAAGCTGCGGCTCTCTTTCACACGCGCTCGGAATAAGCAGAGGCATGTTGATTCAGTAAATGCACAACACTCGAGACGCATCCCTCAATGTGCGCCGTAACGCATCAACATCGGCGACTTTGTTTGAAGCTCGCCACTTTTTCAGGTTTCAAAAAGCTTCAAATGCCACCAGCTGACCTCAGCTGAGCTGCAGAGCTATGCAAAGATGGCTTTTATTAATGTGATTCATCTTCTGTGAACGGCTGTGTGACCACAACAGAGGAGCCCCGGTGACATCTGATAGGCTGCAGAAAAGGCCACTCTCCATCTAGAGAGGATGAGTCACTGGTGCTGTGCGCTCGGCTCATCCCAGAGCAAAAGACACACAATGAAAGTCAATGACTTTTAGGGTGGCACAGTCAGTACAGTCAACAGAAAACTACGCCTTCACTGTGGGATATTAGAGGATGACAAAGAGCACCAGCACACTTTGATGTTCCAGGATGGAGTCTGATGGCAGTGTAAGATATACCACAATAACCACAACACAAAAACAAAACAATACAGACATACAGGGAGACCGGGCAACAACTTGTGTGTGCGTGTGGAAAAATGTACGTGTATTTTCGGCTCATGGTTCATCCCAGTTTGCAATTTATTTATGAGTCATTTCCAATAAGAAGTTATTTCTCTTTATGGGATTTAATTGCATCTGTTGACACATTCTGGCGTGTCGAGTCGAACGGACTCAAGATTGCTTTATGCTCACAATTAAGGAGAACATTGTATTTACTGGGGAATAAATCACAAATTGCAAGCCCATAAAAACAGTGTTGCCACATGCTTCTGCCTGATTATGTCCCTTTTTTTTAATACTTAGCCTAAAAATCAAAAAGTTACTTTTAGTGTGCCTTTATGTAAATCACCCAGAAACGTGTTCAAACACTCCTTTAAATGGACCCGGTAATAAATTAGGTCTATTTAACATGTGACCTGCTTCCTCTCAGGCTGTAAACTGAAAGCTGGTTCAGTCAGAGTTATCCTTAAAAAAATGAATGAATAAATGAATGAATGGACTTTTAAGCTGCTGGATATAGAGTGTAAAAAAACTTGCCTTTAATCTGTGCAAGACGCAGCACTGCACACACTTTTACCCACCTAAAGTACTTACTCACCAAAATCCACTCACTGCAGGGCCGTCGGGGGGGGTTGATAAGAGTTTAAAATAGTCTTATTTTTGCTTTTCTGGCATGACAAACATCCACACAAGGATGCTGCCATTATCACACGGCACAGAGCTTCCCAAGTCTCTGCTGGGGACGTAACTGACAACCAGACCTATTTTTTATATGCTGGGACATGAGCGAGCCGGCAGCTCAGAAAAACACACGATCAGAGAAGTGTCACAAAAAAAAAGATACCGTAAGGCAAACAAATCAGACTTTGCATCAAAACACGAGCAAACGTGCAGCAAATGAGTCTGGAGCGCTGCTGCGATTTACGAGGAGATTGAGACGAAGCACAAAAGTGTTATTCAGTGTGCGTGAGTGAGCACCT